TATCGGTTGAAACTTAGAAAACGAAAGAAAAAACAATTATTTGCAATTTTTAAGTTTTTTTGGGTATTTTAAAATCTCCAACAACAACAACAAAAAAACCTTGAATTGAAGTGAAGATGGCGCTACTTTAAACAAACGCATGATTCTAGGAATATGTTATTTAATCGGCCTCTGAGATTCATTTTATGGCATTCATCACTCAACCTTCTGAAAAAACCACCGCCAAAGTTCCCTTAAATGTTCAAATATTTAATCGATCTTAGTCTATAATAAATTTAAAAAACAAAAAAAAAAAACATCGGGAATGTAATAGCCTATCTATTTTTTAGTTTACCTAAAAAAATCCGAAACTAGATGTCGTCCCAGGGCTGTTGCCTTATTAGTTCCAATATTTATTATAATTTGCTGGGGATTAAATAAAAAATTATAATAACAAGATTCTTTTTTGAATTTGTATATTTTGATGATAAATAATAATTTCTTCTGAAACACCATGAAATCACCATAATTGCTCACCCTTCAGTCATACATCACGTCAATAAATAAAAAACAAGATGTCATTGGAATTCCCACTAAAAAATACACCTGTTTTGAGACGTGTATGTACCTTAATTTATTCCATGTCGCAAAATAACAACAAGTAATATATAATTAAAAAAATATATTGTATATTTTTAAATAGATCTTTGACGTTTAACAAATATACAACATTTGCGCCATCTACCAATCAATTTATTTATTTATTTTAATATTTTTCTAATCAAGAATCCAATAAAAACAAGACACTAATTGGTTTGGCCTCGCATTTTTAATTAAATGATTATTTGTATTTTCGCTAATATCGTTTAGAAATAAAAATAACATTAAATGTGGGACATAAATAAAGATGCCACGAAGTATGGCTGTCATAAATTTGTGACACATAGATGGCGCGCATACATATGTTGACGCATATTTTGAAATTATTGTATTATGAATGGATTTGGCTCAGTGCCATCAAGGTATATTCTGAGTATACAAATATTTATTCATATAAATATTTATTCACATAAATATTAATATTTGCGGATGTACATATCATAATTGGCTAATTATGTTGTCTTGGGGAGGGGGGAAATATATGACGATAAAATGTGTAAATGTATATTTTATGTGCATATAGTACATTTCATTCATGATTTTTTCATTAATTTATTTTTTCTTCAATTAAAAATCTCTTGATTTTTCTTCTGCGAAAAAATAATTTTATTTAATTTCTCTTTGACAATTTTATGATTATTTCTTCGTGGCTGATTGGTTTTTATTTCCACCAACCTCTTTTCAATATAAAAAAATATTATCAAACACTTTTCTAATTTTACCTGGAATTTTTCATTTGCCATATATTATATACTTTTCCCAATGGACTTGGATAGGGGGAAATCCATTACGGCAACTTTAAAGAAGAGTCTTAATGAGAAATAACATTAACGCTTGCAAATCAAAGGGAAGTGGTATAGACAAAACAAATAAAATAGAAAATTACAAAACTAATGCATAGATGTGTTTCAAGACAAAAATTCACTGGAATAAAATCCACTTTATGAGTGATAAAGGGGAGAATGATGATAACAGATAGCTTTTTCTATCCCCCAAAAAAATACTCAATTTTTATGACAAAATAAATTCAACAGCTGCCGTAGAAGTACCACAACTTCATTCATAGTTGTTTTTCATTGAGGAAATACATATGTTGATTTTCTCGGAAAAACATTTCCTCATGTTACCTTGACATTTCAATTTTTATATTTTTCCTTCTTCCTGTGAACCACAAAATTGGATTTTTTTTGTCTCTTGTCTTCCTATAATCAACTAATATTAGCTGGAATTTTACTTTGCGAACATCGCTTATTGTTGTCTCAAAGGAATTGGAATGGGAAAATGTATAAAAGAGATATTTGAAATAGACTCAACACCGACGCACATAATCCCAACAATTATATTGGTGATTGAAAACGAAAAAAAAAAAAAACATGGAAAATAAAGGAAAGGCAGAATTGCCATTCAGTTCTAGCAGGATGAACATTTTTATTTCCCCTCAAACGCGAGGAAAACAAAAAATTCGAAGAATATTTCAATTCAAGGCCTTGATATCGGTGAAAAAATATATTCTATTAAATTTTAAAAATTTTAGCTTTTTCAAAAAAGAATCAATAAAAATACAATTTCGATTTTCTTCTTTAAAAACAAATTTAAATTTTAAGAAAAAAAATTAGGCTACTTTAAATAATACAAAAATTTCAAAAATTTCGGTAGTTCGAACATATAATAAGAAAATATCGATTCTGCCTTAGAAAACGAAAAAAAATCATTTGCAATTTTTAGGTTTTTTTTTTGGTTATTTTCCAAATTGCGATCAAAATGCCAAAAGTACTAATTTCTGGACTTTGGTGTCAATAGCAAAAATATTCTTTATCAAATTTCACTATAAATCGCCAAAGACAGAAAATCGGTAGGTCAAACATATAATGGGAAAATATCGGTTGACTTAGAAAACATAAGAAAAAAATACTTGCAATTTTTTGTTTTTTTTTTTTTTTTTTGGGTATTTTCCAAATTGCGATCAAAATGCCAAAAGTACTAATTTTTGAACTTTGATGTCAATAGCAAAAATATTCTTTATAAAATTTCACTATAAGTCGCCGAAGACAGAAAATTGGTAGGTCTAACATATAATGGGGAAAATATCAGCTGCGACTTTGAAAACGAAAAAATATTTTTTTTGCATTTTTTGGGTTTTTGGGTATTTTCTAAATTTGGGTCAAAATACCAAAAATACCCATTTTTTGACTATGATGTCGATGAGACAAATATTCTTCATCGAATTTCACTAAAGGTCTCTGAAGACGGAAAATCTGTAGGGCGAACATATACAAGTGATATAGAGGGGTTCCAATTTGGGTAAAATTCAAAAAATGCAATTTTATGGTTAAATTGAGGCAATTTTCGCATTGGTCTCCAAAACGCTAATAAATCTACATTTTAGAGGAAAAGTGCGAATGAAAAAAATATTCCCTATCGAATTTCACTATGAGTCACCGAATAAGAGAAAAATGTAGAAATGATATATAGTCACCAAAAATCGTTAGAAATTTAGGTATAAACAAAAACTCTCGTTTTTTTTAACTATTATGGCTAATTTGAGAGCTTTTAAAATTGGTGCCTAAACTCCAAGAAAAATCCATTTTCAGGAATGCTGTTAAATAACAAAATGTTCTCCATAAAATTTCACCATGAGTCACCAACCAAAAGGAATCTAAATATATAACACATACCACCAAAATATCGGCTCTAAGTTGGATCTTCCAAAAATATTAATTTATTAGAATTTAAATTCTAATTTTATACCTTTCTTCAATTTGTCACAAAACCCAACAAAATGGTTTACTTTACCCCTAAATTTCAAAAGGAAACATATTCTCCACAGAACCATAAGTCACCGCTCGGAAAAAAAATAAGCTGTAAAAATAACATATTTCACCCAAAATCGCCTCTAAGTTGGTTACAAAAATTAAAATGAGTTTATCGAAATTAAAGCGCTATTTTTGTGTTTTTTCTTCGAATTAGACCCAATATTCTAGGAATGGCCAACTTTTTGGAGATACTTTCAAAGGAAGAAATATTCCCTACTTGATTTCATTATATTTTATATAACCCATAAAATATTAATTATTTATAAAATATTCCCAATAATTTGGCTATATAAGACCAAATGCAAACGAAATCTCATAAATATGACACATTATAGGACATTTGTTATGGCACTCTTAATGATAAAATTTCCCTTTCTTACAGCCCATTTTGCCTCCCCATGACTTCTCCTCTTTTCCTTTCTCCATCAAAAAATCCTTTGGCATTATTATGTATATTTTTGGAGGAAATTACTGCCTATTTGTCATTCACACCATTTGTTAATTATCAAATTTCCATTTTTTTGGATAATAATGCCTTATTATCGACTACTCCCCCCACCTCCCCTTTTCCAAATGTAATTCCATGTAGTTTTGAGAATTATTACCTCTCATATAGCCCTAAACTATATTGCAGATAATAATAATTTGCCAAATTTTCTTATGCAAACTGAGATGGGATAATGGCCAAAAGGAAGGGGGAGAAGGATTCAGATCTTTTCTACCTTCTTACCACCATGTGCTTTCATTCATAATCCGATATTATTATTATTCTTATAATATGCTTACATCTATAAAGGCCAGACAAAAGGCAAACGTGCAGAGAGAATTGTGTAAGCCAAATGTACATTTATTTACGAGCATTTTGTAATAAACGAAAGACCTTATTATGATAGACAAGGCAAATAATAATTCAGACCCATACAGACAAACACACACACACACAGAGAGGAAAACCCACGTTGGGGAAAACTTGCCGATTTTTCTTACAACAAAAATAAGAGTGAAACCTGAGGTATAAACAAAACAAATGTAAATGCAATTTATTTCAATATTTAATGGGGATTGTTTTCTCTTCGTTTCGGCTGGCCTTGTGCGGTGGCAAAATTATGATATATTACACATTTCAAGAAAATATTTCCAGGAATGAATGAAAATGGAAAAAATACATATTTTAATTTTAATTGTGGAATATAAATTTTTAATAATTACTATTAAATTATATAACCGCAAGATATGCTGGCAGGCAGGCAGGTTTTCATTCATATCCGTTTTGTGACAATGTGTTAAAACATTGATGGCAATTAAAATGCATGAAATATGTAATGGCCATATGTACAAATGTATAGTACACATACATACATGTATGTATGTATGTATGTGTGTGTATGTCCATAGTTCTCTGCGTATGACAAAAAAATGACAAATTTGTTACCTACTTTGTTTTGTTTTCTCGTTATTGTTGTTCCTGTCATTTGTTCTGACAATCCCCATGTCACATTTCTCATCATCTTTTTTTCATCTTCGTCGTCTTCTTCTGTCTCATTACAGCTCTCACAGTCCGCTATCTGACGGGACGATTTATTGGCGAATATCGCTCAAATACAGATTTGCTCTACAACAAGACCATAACATTGGAGACCGGCCTGACGGAAGTGGAAATCGTTGATGTCTATGCCGGAAGTGTTGATGGTGATGAACAAAATGAATTTCCCATGGAACAGGTAAAAGACAAAAAAAAAACATATACACATACATCAATAGAGATTTACAATGAATGTGGTACAATATGGACGTAGCAGAGTGGGGGGGAGGGGTTTGGATTCCTGGCAAAATATATTTTTACGCCCTCAACCATGTGGATACAGAGGTTATATATCATTCGATGTGGCCAAAATGTGTTTCATCGAAATAAGCGTTTTGGACCCAAGGTGTCTTTGGAAAAAAATTCACTTCAGGACATTTGGACTCAATCTAAGGGTGTCCGTCCGTCTGTACGTCTGGCTGGCTGATGTATAGTGCACATCAGCCAGCCAGAGGGAGTATCGAATTTGGTCGAAACTTGGTACATCGTAATATTATCATCAAACTAAGATCGAGTTCGAGGATGGGCAATATCGGCCCACTACTTCTGGTACCTCCACCACAGAAGGACAAATTTTTCAAAGAAAATAATTTACCTAATCGAACATGAAAAAATAATCCAATTTTGTGCAAACTTTGAAAATCCTAATATTTGCATCACTGCTAGGTTAAGTGGGAAAATGGACAATATCGACCCAATTTATCAAGTATCTCCCCCATAAAGGGTCAAATTTTTGAATAATTAAATATCCTATAAAATGTAAAGTAAAAGTTCGGTTCTCATCAAAATGAGCACATCTCAATATTTCTGCTAACACAAGACATGCTGTGAAAAAAGGATAGGACGGACCATTCCTTTTAGTACCTCCCCCACAAAGGGCCAAATTTTTGAATAATTATAGTTCTTATAAAATGTGTAGTAAAAATCCGATTCTTGTCAAATTTCGCACATCTCAATATTTCTCCTAACACAAGACATGCTGTGAAGAAAGGATACAAAGGACCATTCCTTCTACAAAGGACCATTCCTCCGCCACAAAGGGGTCAAAATTTTGAATAATCTAAACGCTCATAAAAGGAAATTAGCTTCCGATTCTCTTTAAATTCCACTCATGCTAATATTTCTATTAAAACAAGACCTAGTGTGAAGATGGGGTAGATCGGACCACTTCTTCTGGTACCACCCCCACAAAGAGGTTAAACATTTCAAACATTAATTATATTGCCTTCAAATTTCACACATCCCAATATTTCTACTAACCCAATATCTGGTGTGAAGATGGTAGATAACGGTCCACACATTCTGATACCTTCCCCACAACGGGTCAAAATTTTGAATAATTATGAAGCTCATAAAAAGCGGAACAAGCATCCGTTTCTATTCAAATTGTACATACCCCAATATTTTTACTAACGCAAACTCTAATGTGAAGGTGGGGTAGATCGGCCCACTCCTTCTGGAACCTCCCTCACAAAGAGGTCAAGATTTTGAATAACGAACACGCTCATAAAATGGCAAATAAGCATCCGCTTCCTTTCAAACTCGGCACATCCCAATATTTCTACTAACACAAGATTTGCCGGGAAAATGGAATATATCGGTCCACACCTTTTCGTACCTCCCCCACAAAGGAGTCAAACTTTTTAATAATTATAACTCCCATAAATGGCGAAATAACCATCTGATTCTTTCTAAACTCCACACAATACAGTCTTTCTAATAACAAAAGATCTGGTGTGAAAATGGTGGACATCGTTCCACTCTTTCTGGTAGCTCCCCCACAAAGGGGTCAAAATTTGGAATAATTATAACTCTCAGAAAATGCGATATAAGCATCCTATTACTTTCATACTCGGTCCATCCCAATATTTCTATCAAGCTAAGATCTGATGTGAAGATGGGATATATCGGTCCATTCTTTCCGGTACCTCCCCCAAAAAGGGGTAAAAATGTTGAATATCTATATTTGTAACAAAAAGAGAAATAAGCATCCGATTTTCTTCAAACTTCACACATCCCAATATTTTTACTAACACAAGATCTTGTGTGAAGATAGAGTAGATCGGCTCACTCCTTCTGGTACCTTCCCCACAAAGAGGATAAAATTTTGAATAATTATAACTCTCATAAAATTTCTTAAAATTTCACATATCCCAATATTTTTATCAACACAAGATCTGCTCTGAATATGGGATATATCGGCCCACTTTTTCTAGTACCTCCCCCACAAAAGTTTCAATTGAATAAAAAAAATGAATATCCAAAACGCTCACAAAATGGCAAATAAGCATCCAATTCTCTTCAAACTCCACACATCCCAATATTTTTACTAACGCAGAATCTGGTGTGAAGATGGAGTAGATCGGCCCACTCCTTCTGGTATCTCCCCCACAAAGGGGTCAACATTTTGAATAATCATGGAGCTCATAAAACATGAAATAAACATCCGATTCTCTTCAAATTACACACATCCCAATATTTTAATCAACACAAGATCTGATGTGAAAATGGTGGACATCGATCCACTCCATCTGGTACCTTCCCTACAAGGTGGTCAAATTTTTGAATAACGAAAACGGTCATAAAACGCGAAATAAGAATCCGGTTCTCTTCAAAATTCACATTTCTCAATATTTTTATTTATACAAGATCTGGTTTGAAGATGATAGATATTGGTTCATTCCTTCTGGGACCTCGCCCACAAATGGGGTTAACATTTTTGAATAATTATAACTCCCATAATATGTGAAATAAGCATCCGAATATCTTTAAATTTCACATATCAAAATATTTTTTCTAACGCAAACTCTGCTGTAAAGATGGGGTAGATCGGACCACCTCATCTGATACCTCCCCCGCAAAGAGATCAACATTTTAAAAGCTTATATCTCTCTAACTTGTGAAACAAATCAGCTATTCTTTTCAAAGTTGGTATATCTAAATATTTCATTCAACCAGAGATCTGATAAATTCCATATTCACAGAATTTATCGTTCTACTCCATCTGGTACCTCCCCTCTACAAAAATATACAAATTTTGATTAAAAATTATTCTCCCAAAATTGGAAAAAAATATTTGATTTTCTTTAAATTTTGCAAATCCCAATATTTTTATAACTTTTTGATGAAATGGAATACATCGATCAACATTTTTCAAAAATTATGACACATCCCATGTAAATTCAAGGTTGAGATAATCAAAATCTGGAGTTGTAGAATTAAAAAAAAATCCCATAAAAAGCCTTCCAAGCGGCGCTCCTGTCTACATCACTGTAGTCCAGTCGCCACAGTTCTTTTGTGGGAGTTATGTTAAATGCCATTTCATGTTTTTTCAATTAAAAATTAACATGTGTTACGTTTTTGTGTGAGGTGTAGGCGTGTTAAAGAAAAAAATACATAGTTTACAATTGCTCGTTTATCCGCGCATTTTTTCAATATTTTGTTTTCTGTCAATCCCATATCGTTTGTAAGGTTTCCGACATTGAAATTTGTTTTGGGGCCAAGAGACACGCAAAAATGGCGGAAATCGCAATTTTTTTTTTGTTTTTGGTTTCTGAATATTGCAAAAATTCCTTTTAGTTCAATGAACCTTGATTTATTTTTCATCGGTTTCAATTTAATGAAAGCATTATTTGAACGTGTAAATTGAAAATATTTCAAGAGGTGAGAGGGTAAATGGGTTAAGAGTGATGGTTCTTACAAATGGGAAAGGGGAAAAAAAGAGGATGATGAGAGAATTTTAAGAGGGTAAATGGTTTTGGAATGATTTTCTCAAAATTATATTCAGCTATTAATTCTATGATGATTTCTTTTTCCCCATTGAAATAAATTGCATACACAAGTTATTGGATTTTTATTGGCCATTGCAATTTCAAATATTATATCAAATTCGCGTTGTTAATGGATCTTGGGGGTTTGGCACACGAAATTAACAACAAGCTGTCGTCTATATGCCAAAGAAACAGACGATTCCAATAGAAGGCATGGCAAGAATTTCGAAAACCAAAAAAAAAAAAAAACATTTATTACCATGTCCAATATTCAAATAAGAAAACAAGAGAACATGTATGAAAAATAAATAAATAATTAATTTGCTAAATTGATGTTGAGAGCAAAATACACACAATACATCAAGTAGAGGAAATTCCATACGGGGAGAGAGAGGGGTCGTGCTACTAAAAGTAAATGAAAATTAATGTTTTTCAAATAATAAAAATTGATAATGACATTGTGTTTTTGGATGTTAATGCGTGGATAGACTTGTTTTGAAATATTGGAATTTTTTGGAAACATTTGAAAAATATTTACCAAAATAAAAAAAATATGAAAAATATTTTGTCCATTGGAAATTTACCAAAAATACTAGGAGGAAAATTTCGAAAATCAATAAAACTATTTTTGTTTCTTATATTTTTAAGCCACAACATTTGAAGGCAGATATTTAATGACTTGAAGGAAAAAAAAATTCTAGACGAAAATAACAACTTTTAAAAATAAAATACATGGAGGCTTCCATGGAGCGTATAAGTAATATCAATATTCATACGCCACATAATACATGTGTTACTAATTTAAATAAACCTTACTAATGTTTTTTTTTATTTGATTTGAAAAATGAGAAATTGCAGTTTTTTTTGCATTTAATTACAAAAAAAGCAAAGCAAATTTTAAAATTTTATTATTTTATATCCTCAGCCATATGGCCACACAGAGTGTATATCATTAGATAGCGCAAAAATATGCCTCATCGATGTTAGACCCTAGATCTGTTCGGACGAAATCCGTTTCAGTACATTTGCAGTCGATTTAGGGGTGTTCATCCATCTGTCTAGTTGCCTGCCTCTTTGGTGCGCACGAGTTCGAGGATGGGCAATATGATCCACTCCTCGTGGTGCCTTCCCCACAAATTGTTACAATTTCTAATAATGATACATCTCACTAGCCAATGCCAACAACGTTCCAAGAGTTCCAGTTAGGCCGTTTAGTACTCAAAATGCACAATCGGTTCAGTTTGTTAAAAATTCTTAAGAAAAACTGCATATATCGTCTTAAATTGTCGGACTATGAAGGTTTTTATATATTATTAAAACTTTCTGATTTCTTTTCAAAAATAAAAATGGGAAAATCGTAACCTTTTGTACCAAAGAGTCTTCAAAATTTTTCATTTCGAAGTTTAGCAAGGAGGATAGTAGTAAAAACCAGTGCACAATGGACCCTCATCCAATTTTTCTGTCTAAAACTATTTCAACGTTTCCATATTTAAACGTTAGAAAACAACAGTGACCTTAATATCAAATATTAGAATTCCAGCCCTATCCCTTAGCCCAATACCAAACTTAGTACCATTTAGTACTTTTCGTACACCTAAAGGACGCATTTCCAAATCACCGCCAAATCTCAAAAAACAGATACCATCCAAATATTAAATTTTTAGAATTAAAGTATATCCATTCACCCAAGACCAAATTTAGTACCATTAAGTACTTTTCGTACAATTATAGTACACATTTCCAAAAGACCCCTTCATTTCTCAATTCCAGATACCAACAGTGACCTCAATATCAAATTTGAAGATCCCAGCCCTATCCCTTAACCCAATACAAAATTTAGTACCATTTAGTACTAAAATTATAGTTAATATTTTCAAAAACCACCTTCAAATCTCAATCCCATATACCAACAGTTACCTAAATATAAAATTTGAGAATTTTATCTCTATCCCTTCAACCAATACCAAATTTAGTGTCATTTAGTACGTTTCGTACAATTATAGTACACACCTCCAAAACCACATCCATATGCCCAGGCTACATATGAACAGCGATCCTAATACCAAATTTCAGATTTCAAGCACTATCTGTTCACCCCATACCAAATTGTACCAAATATAGTACTATTTAGTACTTTTCGTGCCCTAGTATCACAAATCTACCATCACAGGGGCCCTAATAAATCATTTTAAAATTACATCTCCGTCCGTTCACCCTAAACCAAACTATTCCTAACTGAGTACCATTTAGTACAGTTTACACACTTTGTACACATTACCAAAACCACCTCTTTATCACCAACGTACAACTGAAAGAGACCCCAATACAAAATTTTAAAATTCCAGCTCCGTCAGTTGACCCCAAAACCAAACTGTTCGAAATTTAGTACCTTTTTGTACAGTTCCATACATATTTCCAAAACCACTCTAATATATCAAACTTTCTTTCCAAATTTGATTCTGATACCAAATTTCATGTTTTCAGCTCTAACCCTTCACATGATACGAAATGGTACCATTTTAGAATTTTAGTACAATTTTTGGATTTTTCGTAACCTTAAATTTCGAATTTCCACAAAACCCTTTAATACATCTATCCTGCACCCTACCAGTGAATGTCATTCCAGATTTCAGAATTTTAGCTCACTCCGTTTGTCCAATACACGGTATTAATTTTTTAGCACATTCTAGTACTTTTCGTACGCCAAAAATGCCAGCTTCCTATACGTAATTGTTCCAAATTTAGTACCATTTAGTACAGTTCGCAAACTTAGTACACAGTTTCAAAACCACGTTCATATACAAATTTATATTTCAATCTAGATTCTCACACCGAATATATCCCTTCGCATAATAGCAAATTTCAGAACTCTAGTCCAAAAATTGGACTTTTCGTAATCTTTAAGTTCGATTTTCCAAAAACCTTTTGGTACATCTATCCTATGCTCTATCTGTGACTTTCATTCCAAATTTCAGATGTTAGTATTTTTAATACTTTCATACTCTCTCTCTCTCTCTCTCATTGCAAATTTCAAAATTCTAGCTCCGTCTCCGTTTTGTCTTTTTGTCGTATCTAATTTTTAGTACATTTTAGTACTTTTCATACCCTTTAAGTACGAATTTTCACAAATCTGGCCTTTTTAAACGCCTGCGCACCAAAACCGACCTTTGTGCGACATTTAAAATTTCTAGCTTCAGCTGTTTCGTCTGGGCCTTGATTCTCAGTCAGTTATTTCACTACTCCTTAATATTTATGAAATTTTGATTTTTTTTTTTTTTTTGAAATTTAATTAAAATTGAAATGGAAAATATTTTTTCCTAACTTTCGAAACATTTTGAAACAATAGAAAAGTATTAGTTATCTTTCATTAATGTGGGTCATTCTATTAACCTCCCGAAACAACACAAACAAATTAATATGGCCCACAGCAAAGTACTTACAATACATTCTCTTTGATCTGCAATATTCCGAAAAATATTTATGTGGGCAATTATATTTCAGAAATTATTTATCAATTTTTAAGGCTTTGTTATGGGATAATATCCTAAAAAAACCAAATACTCAAAAGATTACATGATCCAAACAAACATTGGCAAAAAATTCCAGATGGCCAAACAAAAATTCCGCTCTACACAAAAAACTATGCAATTTTCGTTTCTTTTTTTTTTTTTTTTTTTTTTTAAAACCATAAAATTTTAATTTATTAATATTAATAGTTTGTTACTTTCGGTTAAGCCAAAAAAACTGTTTATATCTTGTTAAATTTTTTATGTGTGTTTTTGTTGCTTCTTTACAGGTTCTCTGGTCAGATGCCTGCATGATCGTTTACAATATCACACAACGCAGCAGTTTCGAATATGCGGCCAAATGTCTGGCCGAATTCAAATCGCTGCAGAATGCACCCACAGCCTATTTGGTGGGGAACAAGGCGGATTTGGATCATTTACGAGAGGTAAGAAGAATGCGAAGACAAACAGAAACAACAAACAAACTGAGAAATGAATAACAAAAAAAAAAACACTTGAGAGATATTGATGATTTTCCTTGTTTTAAAAATAGCTTTCGAAGGGACAAACACTTTCTTTTCAAGAGGGGGGAATTATGTAAGAGGGGGCTTTATAACAAATTCACACCACAAATGAAATTAAATGAAAAAATGAATAAAATTAATTTCTTGGCTTGTCTTAGGTCAGCGGCACACGCACAAGTGTTGTGGCCCCCTTTTCTATTGGGAAAAGATTTATTATCATGCCCGGAGATTAAAATACAAAGGTCCCCCACCCTTTCCTCCCCTTTTTGAGATGAGAAGAAATTAATGCTTATCATTACGAAATCCCTGGCGATTAGGGAATTAAGACAAATTTGGGTCATAAACTTTGGCTCTTCGAGAAAAAGCATTTGGAGATTGGGAAAAGTGTTTTTTTTTTTTGGGGGGGAGGGGAATGGGGGTGTTAATTTCAAAACAATTAAAACCTTGTTTTCGTATTAATATATCATTAGCAGCGGGATGCATTTATAGAAAAGATTTAATGTTGCAATTAGAAAAAAATGCAATGCGGGCGATTATCATACCACCCCGCCGAGATTGCATGTTTTGAAAACACTGCAATGCACTTGGAATAATTCACAAACCTGTGAGGAAAATATTAATTATATTTGTTGTAATAAGTTAATAAATTTGAACCAATCAATGCAATGTTCTGTTGAACAATTACATGATTTTCAAAATATTTTCCTATTAAATTTTTATTTTCGAAAGTTGTGAAATAAATACTGAGCTCATATTTCATGAAATTGTAACCGCATATAAAAATGTTTTAAATAAACAAATATTAAGTGATATATTATAAATAATAGTAATACGAATGTTGCGTATGCGTGTTGTCACTACGTATACGCTCTCACATATGAATTTTAAAATTTATAAAACAATACAATAAATAATTTTGAATTTAATGTTTAGTTTTGCAACTTGAAATTAAAATTACTAAACTTCAAATTCCAAAAATTGGGCCAATATGGCGTATGACTAATGTCACTACTCATACGCCATTGAATATTTATTTTAATGTTATTATTTTTAATATTTTTGTAATAATTATTTTAATTGAAAATTTGAAATAAATACTGTATATTTCTTGTTCTCAGATACGTGGATTTATCATTGCCACTAGCTATGTTAAATTTTGAATTAAATTTCGAATAATTTCATATTGGTCCCATATGGCGTATGACTAATGCCACTACGCCCATTGATCTGATTTAAACTTATTTATTTAAATTGTGAAATATTTAATAACAATTATTTCCGATTTTTTCGTTTTTGTTTCAGAAATTTACAAAAAAAAAATGCACTGGATTTGAAGATAAATAAATTTTGGGGCATTTGAATTCTCTTCGACCTTTTTTTTTCTATGGGTTTGAAATAATATGAACTTGAGGTCACATTGTTGTCCCAGTACTAGAGTCCCGAAGAATATTAATATCGTAGGCTTGAAAAAAAACATATTAATTAATAGAGACCAAATAAATCAGACTTAGTATCAGTTGGCGAATAAGTGATACCATAATGTATTCGTTTCAAATGAAATAAAATGAAATGCCTGTAGGCAAACAATCAATGGTCAATGTCTTTCGATTCAATGACCCTTGTTGCCTTCAATTGCCTTAATTATGTGTCATAATTCCATTATTTTGTCGAATGTGGGGGGCTATAGAACCTACAAAAACATCCACCACAACTGTTTATTTTTAATTAGTTCTCTTTTTAAATTTAACAAAATTAAATCAAGACTTAAAAAATTTAGCAAATTTTTAAATTAAAAAAAAGTGCATTAAATAAATATTTTAACTTGTTTAAAAGTTATTCCCCTATGCATAAACTGCCTCCTATAAGGCCTCTATAAATAGAAATCCTCCATTAAATGTTTTCGAAATCAAAGACCTTAATCTCTAAAATTCATCTTTATTTTCCAATCTACCTCTTCTTAACCATCTATAAATAAAAATCCTCCATGAAATCTTTTCCGAAATCAAATATCTTAATCTCTTATGTAATTCGCCTTTATTTTGCAAACTGTCATTAATCTCCAATTAAATGCAGATGATAATAAAATCTTCCCTCGCCTTTAGTGCACCAAGAAAATCTCTCTCTCTCTCTCTCTCTCAACTCAAGTAGTTTTGTCGTTTGACAATTATATTTCAAGTTTATCTTTTGCTATTTAAATACATAATTCCTTTTTGGAAAATGAAAAATTACAAATTAAATTGCTAATATGTACGAGTATATGAGGGCGTATAGATAATGTCATCACGTATACGCATTGTATAGGGCGTATGTGTGTTGGTGTTAAGTATACGCCAAATTGGCTGTAAAAGTACATGAAGCACATGGAGAAAATGTGGAAATTTGTACGGCGTACATGCTATAATGTCAAGAGAGCGCCAAGCGGGTTGAAACATAATTCATAAATTAAATTATATTTAATTTTTTTTATTTACCTATGTATGTAAATATTTGGAAATATTAAGTAATTTTTTTGTTTATAAGTTAGCGTAGGAGTAAAATATTTTCAGCTAATGCAAAATTGATTCAACTTTTTGAGATTATAGTTCGTAAATTTTTTAGGAATTTAATATTGCTTAATATGGCCATACTGCAAATATGGTTTGGATTGAATTATAAATGGATTACATTCTTGATTTTTCTCGAATTGGTTTTTTATGAACATATCTTTGATGTGACGCATTTTAATTCACCAACCACAAAACATAATTAAATAAAAAAAATAATTTCAAATGACTTGAATACCACACCCTTCTTCCAATTTTTTTCTCTCCCTCTCTCTCTCCCTCCCTGCTGACCACATGAAATTATTAATCCCACAAACGTGAATTTTATCCATCCATCCACAAAAAATTGCCAAGTTTAGAATTCATTACTGGGCCATTGATGATGATGTGGATGATGATGCCAACAACTCACGTTCGTAAATTTTCCTTTCAATTACGTAGTAGTGGCCGGATATGGTTGTCCTGGTGGTGGTCTAGTTGTTATCTTGTAATCTAATACATGGCTAATTGAATGTCTGGGCAGCAAAAAACCAAAACCAAAAACAACAACACAAAACTCAATGTCACATGAACATTTATCCAGCAATATTAGATAGCAACAACAACAACAACAATATGGTCCTAGAAACCGATAGTCTGCAGATCGAGGTGGGCACGTGTAAATTGCACAGGTTAGTTATGGCCACTCCAATGCCAGACAAGACAACAAACAACAGCATGGCCATGACATGCTGATGTCGGAATTTATGGTAAAATGTTGACGTCCAGTTATCTCCTGGAAGAATGCGGGTCATTTGTTAGGGAAATGGCACGGAAAAAGTGGTTAATGCGTATGTGTATGTAGATTAAGGGCAGAATTGTCATGGTTATCAAGGTGACAAAGTTGTGGTTTTTGTTTGTTTTGACCAAAAGGAAAATGGGACAAGGAAAGATGCTGTTATTATTATTATTTTTTTTTTTTTTTTTTGGTTTTTTAGAAGATATAAAGAGTCATTTCTAATGGTGTCATGCTTATATACAGGGTGAGATAAAAAAAAACGACAACAAAGTCAAACGCCATATATTTTTTTTTTAATTTTGTTATTTTATTTTATTTGAAAGCAAAAAATGTCGGAAATAGCATCAACTTTTAGAATAAGTTTAGATTTGTTTGAATTGGTCACCTTTGGCACGAATTATGGCCTTCAAACGTCACACGCTGCCCGAATGTTGCCATGCGGTAATTTTTAGTGCCAAACTTGCTTCCAAAATTCTCCAGCGATGGTGCTGAGTCCTGTTGGAATGTCCAAGGTCTGCGGACAAAATGTTTGCTAGCCCAAGGCTTCAATACACACTCCAGAATATTTTCGCGATAATATTCGGCATTTATCCTGATACCGATTATGGCGACCCACAACATAAAAAAAATTAAATTTCTTCTAAATTTTCTCATTGTAAATAATACAGTATAAAAAAATATTTTTTCTTTAAATATTGAAAAGAAATCAAAATCTCTAAAATTTTTCTCCTGAATATTTTTATTAGCCCAAAAATTTAATATTTATTTTTATTTATTTTTTTTTGTAAATGTGGAATTTTTATATTCATTTTGTTAAAATGTGTTTATTTACAAAAATTTTAATGTTTTTTTTTTTTTTCTTTTGTCTCTAATAAAAATCTCACTATACGACTCTTGAAAATTGTAAAATGAAAATCCCAACTAATGATGTTGTAAAATTAAATACTTAAAAGAAGTGACCTTCATGTGAGCTCCCAGTGATTGTTGATTTAATCCAAAAAATAGAGCGGCCAGTGGAATCAAAACAAAAAAGGCAAAAGAATTTTGGAAAAACGAAATGAAAATCAATAAAAATGCCATAAAATGTGTTTTTTTCGCCACTTAACCGGTTAAGGCGGCATTGAAATGGGATTAAATGCTGCAAGAAGCACTTGAGGTATTTTAAACAAAAACCAAAAAATATATGGAAAATGAGAACGCGACCTTTTTGGCCTTGGGCTAAATGTGGTCACATGCAGCCAGGCAGGTACAGGTAAACAATAAAGAGGCAAAGACAGGAATTTTGTGAGAGGTTGGGGAAAAATTCAATATTTTTTTGAATTATGGCCACATTTTAATAAAAAAAAATATGAACATTTTGAAAGAAAAACAAAACAAAAATACTTGAAATATGTCGTTGAACTTTTTGAATGTTGCGCTCCAGTTATTTTGTAAAATAAATTTTACAAAAAAAAAAATCGAAAAATATGAAAAAAGTCATTAACCATAACACAGCAGATATACGGCAATTAATGGCCAGCCAAATATATATGTATGCTGGTGGGGGTCTTGAATATTTTCAAGATGATTTTTTGGTTTTGTGCTTTGCAGACTCTAGGCGA